TTTCTCTGTGGCTTTGGAGGCTGTCCTGGAACTAGCTCTTGTAGACCAGGCTGGTTTCAAACTCACAGAGATCCACCTGCCTCTGCCTCCCGAGTGCTGGGATTAAAGGTGCGCGCCACCATAAAACTTTTTTTTTTTAACTTTGTGTGTGCAAGCAGAGGAGGCCATTGAGTGTCCTCTATCACTTCTTCCTTATTCCTTGAGACAGGGTCTCTCAGCCTGGAGCTCTCATGTTTTTGGTTAGAAAGTCCCAACAATCCTCCTGTCTCTGTCTTCTATCAAGCACTAGGGTTCTAGCCATTCAGGTCCATATCCACCTTTTTATGTGGGCACTGGGGATTTAAACTTGAGTCCTCACACTTGCACAGTGAGCACTCTTACCCACTGAGCCAGCATCCTAGTCCTTTCAAATCCAAAGTTTTTTGAACACTAATATGATACCACTAATATTTTTTAAAAATACAAATTGGAGGGCTGGAAAGATGGCTCAGAGGTTAAGAGCACTGACTGCTCTTCCAGGGGTTCTGAGTTCAATTCCCAGCAACCACATGGTGGCTCACAACCATCTACAATTCAATCTGGTGCCCTCTTCTGGCATGTAGGCAGAACACTGCATATGTGATAAATAAATAAATCTTTAAAAAAAAATACAAATTGGAAACATTTCTGATCCTAAGCATGTTTTGCTGTTGTTTTCCTTGTTATTGTTTTTTTTTTTAATGTGTATGGATGTTTTGCCTGCATGTATGTCTGTGCACTGCTTGCATGCCTGGTACCTGCAAAAGCCAGAAGAGGGTATTGGATCATCTGGAATTGGAATTCCAGGTGGCTGTGAGGCACCATGTGGGTGCTAGAAATTGAACCTGAGTCCTCTATAAGATCAGTTGGTGTTCTTAATTGTTGAGCCATTTCTTCAGTCCCCTTTAAAAATACTTACTGCTGGAGAGGTGACTCAGTGGTTAAGAGCACTGGCCACTCTTCCAAAGGTCCCGAGTTCAATTCCCAGCAACCACATGGTGGTTCATAACTATCTATAAAAATACTTATTGTTTCATATGAAGGCATATGAAAGTGCCACTATGAGAGCATGGAATCAGAGGACAGCTTGTGGGAATCAGTTCTTTCCTTCTGCCATCTGAGTCCCAGGGATCAAACCTTTTGGTTCTCAGTCATTACTGTACTTTGGTGGCACAGTCTTACAGCTGTTGATGCCATTTAGCTGTAGGTCTAAGATAGTTTGTGTGAGAAGGTACTTCCTGGAATCCTGGCCTGACCATGTGGTAGCAGAGGCTGTAGGTGTGAGCTATGGCAAGTTCTGACCTTTTCTCTGTTCATCTCCCTCTTTCCCTACCCACTCATTACTGATTATGAAGAAGGCCTCAGCTATCCCGGAGTGAATCCCCTCAGCTGCTCTTTTGAGGTTAAAACAACTTCCTGTCTGAAATGATGGCATGTAGTGGTAGTTGGTAGTTAGCTTTTTTCATGCCTTTATTTGGCAGAGTTCTTGGCTGCAGTCTTCTGTGTCTCCACATTTCCTCTTTGTTTTCTGTCAGATTTGGTTTTGGTTTTAGTTTTGCAGATGCACTGATATATAAAAGACACAGCACCTTTGTTGTAACTAAGTTCTCCGAGTTTTTGTTTCAATTTTTGAGAAAGGATCTCTCTGTGTCGCCCCAGCTGGTCTCAAACTCATGATCACCCTGCCTTGGGCTTCCAAGTACTCATTCCCAGGGCAGACTCAATGTTTCCCAATATCTAACACACCTGCCTTGAATATTAGTGTCAAGAGCATCATGTTTGGTGAGAGCTGATGAGCTATAGTCACAAGGCTCTCTGCCACATTGTCCCCCTAACCTAGAAAGCTGATAGAAACACAAGCCATCTCCCCAAAGTAGCCCTGTGTGTCCTAAGAGAGAAAACTCCAGTGTGTATATGTGTGTGTTATTTTAGAGTGTATATATATATATATATATATATATATATATATATATATATATATATGGGGGGGTACATTCTATGCATTTATATGCATGGGCACATGTGTTTAGTGGGCATAGGTATATGGTAGTATGTGCATGCGTGTGTGAGAGAGATTGTATATATGGATATGCAGGTGTATATGTACATAAATTATGTGTATGTATATGCATGAGAGAGTATGAGAGTGCCTATGTATTTGTATGTGAGTGAGAATGTATGAATGTGTATGTATGTGAGAGAGAAATGTGTCTATAAATCCATAGGCATGAAAGTGTAGATGTTTTTGCTGGTGTTCCTGTCTTGCGTTCTTGAATTTTACTCCATTATAGGCAGTGCCCTATTGATGGTCTTTGTGATTCTTGGCTTACTCGCTCCTAACGGACCATGTCTAAGCCACTGCCTCCTGTGGTTACATCTACAGGTTCTCCCATGGGCAGGTGGTTTCTGTGGATGAGCTGCGTCCTTTCCAGGATCCAGACTTGAGCTTACTACAGACTGGCTCTGCGTGTCTGGCCAAGCACCAGGATGGCCTTTGGCACCCAGCACGGATCACTGGTGAGATGGCCTACAAGGGCCTGCCTGGTGGGACCCTTTTTGAGACATCCTCACTATTATTCTTATAGGCATTTTCCACCTCCTCTGGGTTGGGCTTTGACTTCATCTGGGCCCAAGAGGAGCAAGTCTGTCTTTTCCCCAAGCCCCCTCCCTTCCTGTCTCTCACTTTGCTCCTGACTGGTTGCCCAGCCCATAAAGCTGCTAACCTACAGCCTGTCTCTGTCACCCTAGATGTGGACAATGGCTACTATACTGTTAAGTTTGACTCACTGCTGCTGAAGGAGGCTGTGGTAGAGGGCGACAGCATCCTGCCTCCTCTGCGCACTGAGGCTACAGAGTCATCTGACTCAGACAGTGGTGATGCCAGTGACTCCAGCTATGCCAGAGGTATGGCAGAAATCAGTGCCCAGAAGCCAGGCTGGTGCGGGAATAGACCTAGACAGGCACCCAGCTGTCAGGATAATTGTAGAACAAGTGATGTAGTGAGAAGCTTAGCATGGTAATCTACAGGAGAGGGCCCAAGGGACCAGAGAGTGTGTGATGGGCCTGGGTAAGACCCAAGACCTGGCTTTTGCCTTTAAGAAACAGACACAATGATCATATGTAACAGTCAGAACTCCCTGAAGCAAGATGGCACCACACTGTCAGAGAGAAGGGAATGTTGGTGCTAGATCTGCCAAGGAGTCACAGGAAGTAACTGAATGTAGAGTGTAGGAAAGGGTGACTTCTTCAGATGGCTTCCCAGACTTAGAGCTTGTGTGCCTGGTAGTAGAGGAGAAGAGATTTTGGCAGATGGAAAATGTGTTCACGTAAAATAGAGAGTCCAGGAAATGAAACTAGGTAGTATATAATTCTCCTGAGAGATTGGTTAGGATGAAGATAGGAAGGTGTCTCGGGGAACCTGTGATGTGAATTGGTAGTTTCTGAGCTCCTATCCATGGTGGCAGATAGTAAGCTGAAGCATTGCCAGGACTGTCCACAGCATGCTTGAGGAACCTGAGGGGGCCAGAAATCCAGGAGATCAGGCCCTACGTAGGACCTGAGTTCTTGGGTAGCCTTGGCTAGAACCCACTACTTGGAGTCCTCTGTCTCCTGCAGTGGTGGAACCAAACACCGTGGACGCCGGGACCTGCAGTTCTGCCTTTGCTGGTTGGGAGGTACACACACGGGGCATTGGCTCCAAACTCCTCATCAAGATGGGCTATGAGTTTGGCAAGGGTGAGTGTGTACTGTCCTCAGACGGGAGGGATGCCTCAACATAGCCTAAGACTCTGGCAGAGGTAGGACAAGGCCCTGTCTTTCCCAGGTTTGGGTCGGCATGCAGAAGGCCGAGTGGAGCCCATCCACGCCGTAGTGCTGCCTAGAGGGAAATCACTGGACCAGTGCACAGAGATACTACAGAAGAAGACAAAGGGAGGCCAGGCTGGGACCAATAGGCCTCCACGATGTCGGAGGAGTGGTGGTAGACCTGAGGGCCGCCCACCCCCTCGGAATGTGTTTGACTTTCTGAATGAAAAGCTGCAAAGCCAGGCACCTGGGACTCCAGATGCTGGGGTGGACACTCCAGGAAAAAGGAACAAGGACATGTATCATGCCAGCAAAAGTGCCAAGCAGGCTCTGACTCTGCAGCTCTTCCAGACTGAGGAGAAGATCGAGAGGACCCAACGGGACATCCGGGGCATCCAGGAGGCCCTAACCCGGAATGCCGGCCGGTATGTGTGGGGTCCAGTTGAGGCAGTATGGGCTCCAGTGGCTATGCCCACAGGATGCCTGCTAAAGGTCACCTGATCTCAGTAGCCCCTGAGTCTGAGGTGGTCTAAATATTAGAGAACGGGCATTGGCCATAGCAGCTGGGGGCCTGGTAGTGGGGAGCCATAAGATAATGCTGACCAGCAGGCTCTCCCTAGGCACAGCATGGCAACAGCCCATCTGCAGGAGAAGCTGGAGGGAGCCCAGCGGAAGCTGGGTCAGCTGCGTGCTCAAGAAGCCAGCCTAAAGAAGGAGCAGCGGAAGGCAGATACCCACAGGAAGATGACAGAGTTCTAGCATCCCTGCCTATATCGTGGACAGAGCCCTGGGAACAACTCCAAACTGCCTTGGCAGAAAGACAGCTGTCATCCTGACACAGAAACAGCACCTAGAAGAGGGGTCAGCCCATTCCAAGGCTGTCCCTTATTCAGCCTTGTCAGCCTAATTGTATGAATACTACTGAGTAGACATGGGGTGTCAGGGTTGATTTTGAACACTTATTTGACCACCAAGCCCATCTACCAGTGTCTTGGGGTATCTCCGTAGTGAGGACATTAAAGTGATTTCATCACAATTTCTCTCACTGGAGACTCAACTGGCTTCAGGATCTCTGGGGACAAATGGATCTGAGTAGGTCCTGGCAACAGACAGGTGGACTGGGGGTGAGGGCGTCCCAAATGAGGCCACTGCCTCTATCTAAGGCCCAAGAGTCCAAAGGAGGAGCATCTTCCCTCTCCTCCCTTCTCTGCCCAAGTGGGTAAGATCTTAGGGTGGCCCTTCAGTGCCCAGCACTCACAAACAGGTAGGGTATAGGAGGTAGAAGCACCTTTGGGGACACTATCAATCAGTGATGAAAGCAGGCAGGCCTGACTCAAGTGGGTTTGGGGTTCATTTCTGGTTTTCAGTTGCCACTGATAATCCATCCAGTTGACCTGCGATGCCCACCCCATTCATGAGCGTCTGCCTCACTGTGGTGGGGTTTTGTGCTAGTTTTGTGGTATTTGCCTATGATGAGACGTGAGGAGGGGAGCAGAGACCGTGGGAGCAACTGCGCAAGAGCTGTGCAGCTGCTGGGAGGTGCTCTGAGAGACACAGGAAATGAGGTGGGGAGCTCACCAGCAGCCCACAAAGACCTTCCTGGCTGTCCTAGGCAGGGCCAAGCAGCAGCCCCACTGTGGCCTTGGTAAGTGCCTGCCCCATCCCCCATCCTGGGCCAGTCCCCAAGCCTCTCCATGCCCTGGGGTCTAGGAAGGATAGGCCCTGCCTGACCAGGCCATTGAGACTTGGCTGTAGCCAGGTTAGTTGACTTTGACCCCCTCTGTGTAAGATGTCTACACCCCAAGCTTGAACAGACAGGCCGGCACCTCAGAAGACCGTTCACCCTCATTTTGCTCACCTCTTGGGTGAGCCCCTAATCAGCTCCCCTAAGGGCAACTCCAGGAGAAGCAGGGATCCTGGGAAGGGAGGAGTAGGGTGGGGTACTTGGCCTACATAACAGCTACTCATGTTCAGTGATCCTCCCCGCTCCCAGTGCTTAGCTTCTGTAGTGAGTAATCTAAGAACATCACCTGACACAAGGGGTCACTCCTGGGCAGTGGTGGCTGGAGGTGCCGTCTGTGGTCTGTGGCTCAAAGTCAGAGTGGTGTCAGAGATTCCCTCCAGGTAATGGCTTTGAGCTACAGTACAGCTCAGGTTGTAGCTGCTCTGGCCATGCTCTTCCATCCCCACAGCCATCTCAGATAACGAAAGGAGTGGGTAGGGCCTCACCTTTTTACCGGGAACCCTAGCCAGAGAAGAAAAGGCGGGTGCCTGTGGGGCAGGGCAAATATGCAAGGCCTGGGGGTTTCCGGTGTGCTGAGTCAACCAGGGAAGAAGAAGAACCCACCGTCTGGGCAAGATGTGCACATAGAGCTGCAGATGTGCACTGGTCCCTCAGTCAGCCCCCAGCGCTCATCTCTTCTGTCCCCAGGTCCCCTTTCCTGCTTTACAAGATGAGGCCACCAGTGCCTCCAGCCCCACTAGCCCTCTTGCTCCTGGGGTGCTTCTCCCTGCTCCTCTGGCTGTGGGCACTGTGCACAGCCTGTCACAGGTATGTGCCTGGGTTCTGTCTGCCCTCGCCATGCATGGCTCAGAGTCAGAAGTCACAACAGAGAAGTCCATATGAGGGTTCTGCATGTGCCTCCACACTGAGCCTGGGCCAGCATCTCTGATCACCCCTGCACCTTCCTCTGCCTACTGGACTAACGGCACTCTTGCCCCCAGGAAGCGGGCTCAAAGGCAACAAACTGGGCTGCAGGGCAGTTTGATACCAGTGGAAATGGTGAGTGCCAGACTGTCCCTGGGGTCAGGGCAGGGACAGCAGGGAATCAACCAGCCTTCCTTGCCCCTAGTCACTGCTGAGACAGACCCGCTCCCTCAGCAAGTCTGACACCAGATTGCACGAGCTTCGCCAAGGCACTCGCTCCAGCATAGGTGAGCTCCTGGGAGGCCATTAATGTAGGGCTGGCCCACTGGGGCCAGTCCTGTTGCCTTAGCCCCTCAGTGACCTCTGCCTTGATCTTATCCCTAGCCCCACGGCCTGCCAGCATGGATCTCCTGCACCCACACTGGCTGGAGGCATCCAGGGGCAGCACCAGGTCTCAGGTAACCCCCTCTGCCTTCCCACCTCGGCAGCTGCCCAGGGCCCCTCCTGCTGCCCCTGCAACTGCACCTTCTACTAGCCCTGAGGCCACTTATTCCAATGTGGGGCTGGCTGCAATTCCCAGGGCCAGCCTGGCTGCTAGCCCTGTGGTGTGGGCTGGAACACGGCTGACCATTAGCTGTGCTAAGCTTGGGCCTGTGGCGGAGTATGCCTGCATCCAGAAGCGCAAAGAGACAGAGCAGGGCTGCCAAGAATCTAAGATGATCCCAGTTCCTCAGGTAAAGTGAGCCTGGGTAGGGTAGGGTAGACGGGACTGAGCCCACCCTTGGCAGAGGACAACGCCAGTCCCTTCCTGGGTTTGCTTCCTCTCTCCAGGTGGATCTGCTGTACTCCAGGGTCTGCAAGCCTAAAAGGAGAGACCCAAGACCTGTCACAGATCAGCCGGACCCCCGGGGTGGGAGAGCAATTGTGGCCCTTGGGAGTGATGTGGAATATGAGGCCATCGCTCTCAGGGGCCAAGATACCAACCAAGATCCCTTAGAAAATGTGTATGAAAGCATCAGGGAGATGGGCCCCTGAGCAGTGGAGGGTTCACATCCTGTTTATTGACACGCATCGACTTAGGAAGGATACCCAGGCTTCTGCCGCAGCAGGGTTTGACTGCAGATCCTTCTCTGTCCTTCCACCGCCACAGCTGACAGCACACATTTCAGGTTCAGTCCTTGTGGCCTGATTAAACCTCTGTCACATAATGTTGGCTCTCGGTTGCGTTTTTTGAAAGCTGTAAAGGTTGTAGTGTGAGTTTCCCAGAAGGGTTATAGATGTCCCTTTCTGATCTTCCGGAGAGTTTCCTCATACCTGGTCCCCGAGGCCATGACCTGGTTGTCAGACTCAGAAGTCAGTGGGTGGGGGGGAAAAAAGGCAAACAAGCCCTTTGCTGTGGTGGTTTCCCAGGCTGGAGGGTCTGGGACAGCACAGCCAGTTGGAAGAGTGGGATCTGGGCCCTCAGATCCTCCAGGAGCCTCTGCCACCAACCCTTGAGGTTACATAAGTAGGTGGAGGTAGACCTTCTGGCATTAAAGAATCTGCTCCCAGGAGGCCAGTCAAGAAGGTGCAACCCCTTCCTAGCTCTGATAGCTCACCATACATGGAGTCCTGGAGGGGGCAGGAGGTGGGGGAGCAGGGAGGAACCAGCCCTCCAGCTGCAGGGTTTTGCTCAGGGCGTCCCAGTCAAGGCTGTCAGCTGGAGAAGTTGAGCAGCCCCTCCACTAGCCTGAGTTGGAGCACCCTGCCAGGGGCGAGGCGTGAACCCCTTGGGGTGTTTGCCCTGTGTGAACCAAAGGACTTGTGCACTGGGGCGGAGCTCGTAAGGGGTGTAGTTAGGCAGCTTCGGGTGCCGCAGGGAGCCAGGCTGGATCCTGGGTCAGGGTCGACCGGCCTGGCTCCAACCTGGGGCCCAGTCAGGAAAGTGCAGCCTTACTTCTGTAACAGGATGACCGTGGGGGCCAAGCGCCCCTAGAACTGGGTCAGGTCTGTGAACATCACCCGCCCCACTCTGAGGGTCAGTAACTAGCGTTCATAGTCTCCCAGATCGTGGGAGGCACGTGAGTGCGGAGGGCCCGAGTCAGAGCGCCACGCCTGTTACGGTGCCCACACCACCACAGGTACCGGTGGGCAGGGGCACTGCCAAAGTTTCTTTCCCTGCAAAAATGGCGTCGGGATTGCTCAAATTTTGGGCTCTGAAGGCATGGCAGCTGGGGGTGCTGTGTCAGTCTGTGTGCGTGTCTGTGGGTAGGGTCTAGCTAAGCTGAGATGCTTCCCGCCACCGGATCAGGGGGCGGGATTAGGGCGGGGCCATGCGGTCCACACACACTGTCTGGTGTGTGAGAGTTGGGCACCAAGTAGATTTGAGGTCTCCAGGCCGACTCCTCCACGGAGACCCCACCCATTTTCCGGGGTCCTTCCATAGGTGGCGCCTGAACCGCAACAACCTCAGGCTGAGAACCCAGGAACCTCAGGAACCAGGTCTGGACCCTTAGCACGGGTCCCAATGACTTCTGTGAACATCCCAGTGGCAGTAAGGAGGTGGGGTAGGGACTAATGCCCCATGACTAGGAGTGTGTGTGCATGCGTGTGTGCCAGTGTGTGCTGGAGTGGCAGATGCTGGCACAGATGTCATCCTTTGAAGGCTTCGGTGGAGAACGAGTCAGAGTCTCAACCTAGCTATCTAGGACTCTCAGGGTCCCTGGCTTCCACTTGCCAGCCCTATAGTCCTGGCCATGCAGCAGGGTCTGACTATTCAGCCCCCTGGGACCCGGGGACTTGCCTGTGCATACGGCACAATCTCCTTAACAGCTGCCAAAGGCTTGCTGCTCCACCCTCCTAGACCTGGCACTTGGCCCACAGTTGCTATTTCACATCCGTGGTTAATGTGTGATGGCGGGAAGGGCTGAGCCATAGCTGGCCCCGCCCCTTATAGTGGGCCTTCAGACCTCTCTCTGCTCAGCACCGGGGTCTGAAGGAGCCCTTGTGGAACAAAGCCCGCGTTACAGAGAACTCAGGCTTTCTGCGGATCTCCATCCTGCTCCACGGTTCCTGGATTTTCAGCTCTGCCACCAGAGATGGGGGCGGGGGCCAGAACTTGGAGTGAGGCAGCCTGATGCCCACACTGCTGGACCAGGGGAGGGGCCTAGGGCACTTGTTGAGCTCTGACCTCATCTCCAGAATACCCCCCATGAAAAGCCCGGCTAGAAGAGGTCATGGCTGCTGCAGCCCTTATAAGCCTATCTACCAGCCCCCATCCCACCCCACCCTACCCCACCCCTGCTTTGTCTGGGGGCCCCAGCTGCAACCGTAAGCCCAGATGAGACTCAAACTTATGCTCAAGTATGAGCAGGGTCCAGAAAATTGAAGCCACCAAGCCTCTATGGGGCAAGCAGTGCCCCAAACCTAACGTGCCACCTTCTAAGCTTGCCTCAAGGTCTCTGAAGAGACATCTGGACCCTGAGCGCCCCTCACTGAAGCCAAAACTGTATCTCCACTTTGCTGGCCATGCCAAGCACCCCTACCTTTCCTCTGTTAGAGAAACTTCTCTCCAAGTCCCTGAGGCCAAATTCTCTTAGTTGTCCCTACTCTACAAGGCTCACCTGAACAGGTGGCAACTCTCAATCAGGGACTTGGGAGAGAGCAGGCAGGCAGCAGTTTCTGCAAAGAAGCTTGAGCCTTCCAAGCTCCTGAGTGGAGTGTCCCTGGGGAGTCTGGCTTGGAGCTCTGGAAGGAGGCCCTGGTTCATCCCTCGGGCAGCTACGGCAGCAGCAGCAACAGCAGAGACAGGCTGGGACCTGGCCAGCCACCCGTCATCTCCACCCACTCCGTCATCCCTGCTGCCCCCTGAAGAAACTCACTTTTTTGTTTTGGGGAGGCCACCCTAGAAAAAGGAAGGTGAGTGTGGGGAAATCTCCTTACCTTCTTCCTGTGGAAGAGCGGTGGGAAGGTGCTGAGCACAGTGTTGGAGATGCAGAGACACACCTACCTGGTGCACCTGGGGTGTGGTGGGACTGGGGGCTTGGTCAGAGTGGGATCAGACCTGGCTAGAACTTAAAGCTCTCCCCTCTCTATCCTTGGCAGGAGACAGGCAGAGCCAGAGCAGAGTGATGGGGAGGACGTCTACACAGAGCTGGATGGCCGTGTTGACTGACAGGTTATCCAGCCTGACCCCAGCGTCTCCGAAGTTCCCATGCCACTCACCATTCCTCATGTAGAGCTACTGGAGCCCCCCCCCCAGTTCTTCCCAACTGGCTACAGCCCCTAACTTGCTCATCCCTTCAGCTGTTCCACAGTGACCAAGCCTACTAGCAATGGAGATTGGGGGCAGGTCTCAGAGCACTCTCTAGAGAAACAGCTCAGGGGTACAGTTCCTTCCAGAGCTTCCTGGCCCCCATCCACCTGGAGCCACAGCACAGCCCTGCCTGCCAAGCTTGGGGTCAACCTGAGGTATGTGTAGGTTGAGGGACTGGGCATGTACTAGGTGGTAAAGGTCTTAGCTGACAATTCTCCGTGCTCCCTGCATGTCCCCTCCAGGAAGCCCCAGGGTGATGCCAAGAAGTGCTGGCAAGTGTACGGCATGGACTACAGGGGCCCGTGGTGCAAAACCTGCCGCTGGACAAAAGCCTGCTGGCAGTTCCTGGCCTGAGCCCATCCATGATGCTGCTGCCCAGGCTTTCTACCACTCCCAGCCTGAAGCTACGGCAAACCTGGACTCCTAGAGGTGGAGGAGTAACTGACTACGGAAAGTGCCTTGGAGGAAACCAGCCTTTTGCACTAAAGCCAAACTGCACGTTGTCCCTTTGGTTCCAGGGGCAGCTTGCCTCCCTGCCCATCACTCACTGACTTGTCAAAGATGTCAGTGGGCTCTACTAGAGCCTGTTTGGGTTGTTCACCTCTAGAGGGGTGTCAGGGAGAGCACTCTCCTGCCCACATTTAAGGTGGTGGTTCCAAGTCCCCCTGGGGCTGGCATTTTACCATGTTAATGATGCTCAGGTGTTTGGTGTCTGGGAGAAAAATTAAAACCTGTGGGGATTGTTTGTTTGTTTGTTTGTTTAGTTTTCCAGAAACCGATGTTACCTCCTGGGGAAGGAAGTGGAACTAGGAGGGTAATGGGAAACGGATGATAAGCAACAGGGGCTGGCAGCTACCTCCATTCAGGTTGAGGTCCAAGGAAGGGTACTGTTTGAAACCACACAGGAGGCATCCGCATGGAGCAGCAAGTTCCCATTTTATTTAAAGTGATTGCTTTGCAAGAATGTCTACACTAATCCCATCACAGAAAGAAAACCCACAGGCAACCTGGAGCACACCTAGGCAGACAAGAAATCGAAAGAACCACTATAGAGAAGGTGATCTTTACTTGTCTGTGGCTATAGAGAAGCAGGACAACAGAGCTGTGAGCCTCACCAACGGGTTATGACAAACCTTCTGCAAGTATTAAACACATCTTCAGTACAAACACAGGTTTATAATAATTAATATAAAGTCAATATAATATAGATTATCCCCAGGAAAAAAATCAACAATCTTCAAACACTGCCTTTTTTTTCTTTTTACTTTTTGTTGACAGATTGAAAGCATGTTGAAAAAAATAAATATTCAAGAAAAGCACACACACAACACCCTCACTACAAGTGATTCTAAAAGAGCCACATACAAAACACAATAGGATCTAAAAAATAATACCACCATTAAGTATGGCTTTCTTAGGAGTTGTACATGTCATAGAATGAGCCAAAGTAAGATTATCTTTTATAATATTGCAAAAAGTTCCAGTTTTGCATTTTATCAGGTTTTGTTCTGTTGTTTTTAAAGGAAGATGTGCAAAATTGGAAGCATATCTGTGTCTTTTGAGTTAGGTCCCTGTCAAGTCCTAGCAGTGTCCTGTTCCCCAAAAACTCAGAGTTCAAATACGCAAACTGGTCAGGATCCAAAGATCCATACAAAAATCATATAGTTTTCCCACCTCAACCCTAACAACACCCACCCCATGGACTATATTTTCCACTTTGGTGTTACAAACACCAAAATACAGACACACGCACAAAAAATACAAAATGTGAAATGTAATCTACACATTTTTCTTCATAAAAAAATATTTATTAGTTTGAACATTGAATTGAAAAAAATTCACATAAAAACAAACAAAAAACAAAAAATTTCAATACATACGTCTTTTCCCTCCATGCCTCCTGAGACGGATGTGTTCATCTGGGTCTCTAGAATTCCACTTTCCAATTGGAAACTGAGCCAGAACAAAGCCTGCCACATGGCAAACACTTGGAAGGTGGTGGGACCAGAACTGGGACCCTCAGTTTTCTGGTACAGTACTGGTTTTAAGGAAGTGCCCTGTGTACCAACAGGGAACCCCAGAAAGGCCAGCGAAGGCAGTCTGGAAGGGGGGGGCCAGTCAGAGCAAGACATCCTGAGAGTGGAGGCACAGGTGCCTTGGGAGGTGGGCCAGGGGGTCCTGGGTCCTGGGTCCTGGGCAGGACAGCCTGAGAAGTAGGGACTGATACAAAAACCCAGAGACAGTGGTAGCAAAGGTCTAGTTTCCAAATGCATTTTGTAAGAAAGTGTTTAGAAAAGGCGTTTTAAAAGAGGGAGGAAGGTACTAAGTCTGAGGGCCCTCAGGGGGCCTGGCAAGGCTAGACAGTCTCAACCTAAAAGTCTGTTGGTGAAAGGGGATCTAGCTATGTTGCCCTGCTGGACAGAAATGGACTCCAGAACCAGCATGCCTCAGAGGGAGAGGGCACAGGGGCACACAGCTTTCAGACAACAGTCCCTACACTCTGTGTAGGCTCTGTTCCTCTCTGACAACAATAAAAGCTGTGATTCATTCCTTCCATAGGGTCAGCCTTGCACCCTTCTGTTGCCCGGGCAGTTGGTACTTGGGAAATGTCACCAGGTGACATATGCTCTGTATAACCATTGGGACCTAAATTACAGTTTTATGGGGCTTCCTCTTACTTACCTAGAGAGGACAGATGTGACAGTTAAAAAAAAAAAGTTTAACTTAGTGTTTGAGAAAGGAAAACCAAAATTCTCTAATTGGCCCTAATGTTTAGTAGCCTGATGAGCCCTTGCAACAGGGTGGGGGTTAGCCCATCAGCACCTCACCAGAGCGCTCACTGAACACCATTGCAGTGGGCTTTTGGGAGACGAAGTGGGTGAGGGATGGAATGTCTTGATAATTTGTCGGAAATGGCCCCAAGAAGAGGCAGGCTGCAGCATTTGTGTCTGCCCTGCAGGTTAAGTGGACAACTGCCTCTCTGGGCCTCAGAGCCATGGAAATGAAGCCTACACTTTTCACAGAACAAGTGTGAGAGCCTTTAGAAATACAGTAGGAGGACTTGATGAAGAGTTAAAAAACCACTCCTGTAGAGTCCTGTCAAGTGAGAAAAAACAATTCAAAATAAAGTAACCTGTAGTAACCACCTGAAAATGTCTCTGACTTCTTTAAAATTTGGTTCCTAGGCAGGGAGGCATCAGCAGCACACTGCAGCTAGGAACACCCACCTCCAGTGTTAGCAGCAACAAAGGCAGGAGCTTGACCTCTATCTGGTCCAAGGAGGGGTCAGCAAGGATGCAGGCAGAACTCAGGGTGCACAATGGGGCTCTCCAAGAAAGTGCACACACAACAAAGAGCTGTGGCCCTGGCAACTCAACCCTGTGGGCCTGAAAGGGGGAAGCACCCAGCCACAGGCCCCTTCTTGAAGAGAGCCTTCTTCCTCTTTGGCCTGCCGGTTGGATAGCTGCTTCCACAGAGATAGCACCTGGGGCCTAGGGCTTCCAGAGACGCATCTGCAGCCATTTTGTGTTAAGCACCAAAGCCTGGAGGTAAGAGGGTTGCAGGGTTTTATGCCTACTGGGTTCTACCAGCTGCCACCGGGCAGCAGGAACCAAGAGGACAAAGTGACAGGGCCGCAGCCCATAACCTGACGGCCGGAGGATAGGGATGGAAGGAGACTGAGCAATGCTGTGAATGGAGCAGTTTGTATTTACGCAAAACTCAACACCTACTCAGACCTGTGGGCTGGGGGATTGCCCTCATGACCCTAACTAGTGCTAACCCTGACCTGGCCACTTGAGTCATCTTGCATTCCTAGCCAGGTTCACAGCAAAGGGCTCCTTTGATACCCTGAGGAAGCATGCCCAGGCCTTGGTGCAGCCCTGCCCATACTTGTAGACACACCTGCTGGGGACTCCATTAATACCTGGACAGGTGGGAGTAGGCATTCTCTCTTTTCCTAAACCCACACTGGACCCCTCACTTTGTGTTCGGTCCTGGTGCTCCCCCGATCACTGGAGTCACACACACTTCTTAGCTCACAGGACCAGTTTCTGCAAAGGGGGGGGGGGGTTATAGCACAGAAGGGCCTGTAGGAAGAGCTTCAAGGGTGCAGCATGGCCCTGTTCCTGGGCTAAGGAAAGACCCACTAAGACACACACAGGTGGACAAAGCGATTCAGCCACCACCCACCCTGCCCACCAGAGCAGAGCCCCTAGGAGATCCAGGCAAAGTCTTTATCGGGCTCCCCAGAGGGGCTGCGAGGCCCCTGTGGAGAGTCTTCATCATCCTTGTCATCTCCCAGCAGCGCATCCTCAGGTGTCAAGCCCACGTCGTCCTTCCATTTGGCCACGTCCTCATCCTCGTCCTCACCTAGCTCCTCCTCACCTTCCCCTCGTGGGTCATCAGGGTCTTCTAGGTACGGCCCTTCACCAGCAAACAGTGCCTCGGGGGAGCCCTCACCGCCTCCACCATGGTCCAGTGGTGTGCCCACACCCCGGCCAGCACAGTCTGCACATACGCCGTGGCGGCGAGAACCATGCTTGATGCCCACGCTGGCTGCAGACATGAACACGCGGCTGCACACCTTGCACACGTACTTCTTGTCCTTGCTGTGCACCTGGAAGGACAGAGCAGTCAGTGGAGGGGCGAAGTATTGGGGTGAGGAGCACAGGCTTTACCGGGCCATGAGAGAGAGATACATACACAAGAGGGACAGTCTCTGTCAGGGAAAGAAAGTAACACATCTATCTGGAGGCAACATGGGCAATATCTACAGAGGCAGCAAATCACCCTGTCCTCAGAAGATGCTATAAGCACCAGGGTCAACAGTGTCATGCCCCCAGCTACAAACTGGGCCGGTCCCAACATATCCATACCCGAGTACTCCCACTCAATGGTATGTAGGTACACTTCTCACTTGGTCATATATTACTCCCTGTGCCTTAAGTACCCTTCCTATAAACTTCCCTGCAGGGTGGGCTGACGGGCTCCTATCAGATCCCTAGAGCAGAATAGTTGGCCTGGCAGCCCAAGTGAGGCAGAGATAAGAAAGACAACACTGTTCTCCTGTGTGCACAGGACAGGGATCCCATACACGGCTGTGGTTGGAAGCTGCAAGTGGAATCTGCCTTCCAGGAAGGCCAGTCTAGCTTGGTGGGTTGGGAAGCATGGGACCCACAAGTGGGGAGCAGAGGGAGAGGGGTCAGCATGGAGTCCCATGAGATGGTAGGTGACTAGAGCCTGACAGCAGGGCAAAGGAGTTGGACCCTAGCCTGGCTGCTATGTACCTTGCTTCCAATGAAAAGGGGAAACTCCTGTCCTGACCTCTCAATTGAAATACAAGGACAGGGGTTAGCAATTAGGGTCTGCAGAGGAGACTGCAGCCAGGGAGGGACAGCAGTTCCCTGCCCATTGTGGTACTTGGCAGGAAGACACAGTACTCAGTAGAGGGGCCTTGAAAGCACAGAACACAAAAGCCTGGAACTCCTGGAGGGGACCCAGGAGGCCTGAGCCTGAGGAAGAGTGCGTAGGAACCAGTGTACTCTGTAGAAAGTTGTCCTATGCAGAATTGCCTTCCTGGAGATGGCTAGAACCAGGTAAATGGGATTTGTGGAGTGCCCACAGGCATTCTCAGCCTGGCTAGCTCCACTGTGCCTCCTTGCATCTCAGATCTCACCCTAAGCTTCAAAACTGGAGGATGGGGGATCCCAGAGGAGACCACAGTTGTCCCTGGCCAGGCAGCCC